CATTCGAACGCTCCATCATGACACCACCCCCCGCAGCTCAGGTGTCGAGAATAGCCATGGATCGCGCAGAACCATGGAAAGAGGACGGGAATATCGTCCTCGCTGCTGAAGGAAAATATTTTCGCGTCCATCGCAGCGTCTTGAGCGCCCATTCCGAGGTCTTCAAGGACATGTTTGATTGCCCCTATCCAAAAGAAGCCGAGAAAGAGTTTGTCGAATTGTGTCCCGCGATAAACCTCCATGACACGGCCACCGACGTTCAAATAATGCTGAAAGCGATGTACGACAGAAGGTGCGTACAGCGACTCAGACGTAATGAGGCAACACCAAGTCGCTGACGACCCGATCCGCGTGACAGCTACCCCCAGCCGTGGTACGAGAAAATGCCCATTTCCATCGTTGCTGCATTCCTGCACCTAGGAGAAAAGTACGCCATCCCTGCGCTCGTCAAGGAAGCAAAAACGAGATTCTGTTGCGCCTTTGAACCCACGCTATTGAGCGCCGCATCCTCCCTGGCGGGCACCTCTGCCCCGGAACTATTCCCGGCAATCACCGATGGCGATCCACACAACTTTCAGATCATGAACCCCTTGCAGGAGATGGACCTAATAGCCCCTCTCCCGATTACCATGTATCAATGCATCGTTACCTGTCCCTTGACGAAGATCACAGACGGTTACCAATTCAAGAATTCATTTTGTTCGTTGTCGGCCACGAACCTGCGGTCGTTTATCCGGATGAAAGATGTGCTCGAGAATCATCGAATTCGGCTGACGAAAACTTTGTGCAAGGCACCTACCTGTGGTCAACTGAACTGCAGGTAATATATATTCCGGGTGTGCTCGGAAGACCTGAATGTTGCACCACCTTTTGAGATTTGGAAGTCTCAATGGGAGAAACTGCTTTGCCAGAGTTGCGCAACATATTTGAAAGGGAAGCGCGAGGTAGAAATGCAAAAGGCATGGGATCAACTACCGACAGCTTTCGGTTTGGGTTCTTGGGCGAATGTGAGGGGGAGCGGTGATTTTCCCTCTCTTACGATTCGTGCATGTTAAGACACAGCTTCATCAGCTTTGAATATATAACCACTTGAACGGCCGATCACCCTGGGCAGAGGCGATGGAACTAAAATGCGGGATGAACTTGGTCGGTCTCGTTTTCGCGACATATACCATAGACAGGCGCGATGCATGGTAAGATCATAAAGGAGTTGAGTACATGAGTGCAAAGGAAATTTCTCCACGAAGCTCCCTTCACTCTGTATCGACGACCGTTGTTTGGAGACCCTGATGGGCGAAGATGAGTAAAGGAATTGCATCGAAGGGGGAGAAGCCTGCCTTTGCAGGGCCTGGAACGTGGCTAGCATACGTGTAGAGCTTCTCTTTTGCGTTCTCCTCATCGTTACGCTTGCCTAAGATATGCATAAGGTAAACCGACGGACAGGGATTACAAAGTGAATACTCACGCTCCAACTTTACGCGTATCCGGTGGGGAACAGTTTTAATACCTTGTGCCCATAGAGCTTGGTTAAGCTTGGGGTCGAGCCGAACGTCCTTGGTGCCCATTGATTTCCTAGCAAACTCGACCACGGATTTGACGGCCCATGGGGCACGCTTTTTGAACGAGCGACCATGCACGCGCTTGTGCAGATGGATCGTGTACTCGCGAGTCACAACGTCTTGGAGGGCAGAACGCTTGCCGGTCTGGACGAAGTGAGATCACGGTCAGTGCGAGGGAGACCACTTCAAGTCATCATATAGACGAACTTTACCGCCTTTAGTCCTGGCCTGTGATGCAAGTGAGAACGGGTAAAAACAAGGGCGAGCCACGTACCATGTCTTGAGGATGTCGATGTCGGTGAGCGGATAGGATGGACAGGTGCTCCGCGCTTTGGTCGTGTTTGCGGCGTCGTGGCGGGCAGTCAAGGTTTGTGGCTGGCAGACCACGATACAGTTATTCGGCAATTACCGATGCTGAAACATTCTGCTCGTTTTTGGAAATGTCCCCTGACTCGGGGTTTCTTTCGTTCGCCCATCTCGACCTTCGCCGTTGTCTTACTGATGCTGGTTTGTTCGCTTCTGAACCTCCAAGTCTCTCTTCCCTATAGGAGCAAAGCCCGGATCATTGAGCCGTTGCGGGCATAAAGGCGGGAGTTGTCAGCAAGTATCGTTGCCAGTTGCGCCATTCCTTGGACCATTGCATTGCGCTTCACAGCTCCTTGCTTGTTGTTGTCTCTTCTACATCGGCTGCTCTCACTACGCGTCAAAGTTTTCCCGGTACGTTTCCATACAGCGTCCTTCCTATGCCGTCACTCACGACCCGTCCTCTTAGACCGCGCTGCTCCGTGTTTGACCAATGCGAACACCAAGATGACGACACTTGCTCGTGCAGTAACCAAGCTTTCACCAACTCGACTGCCGCCTGCATGGATTATCCTGCTCTCGCAATGACCTTCAAATTGCTGTAGTCTTTGCTCAACGAGTCTGCCTCGTGATCATGAGCCGGCGTTTTGTGTCGCCGATACAATTCTCTTCTAACGTCCCTCGCATGGTGACTTTGATGGCGAGCGTAACGATAGTTGCCTCACTTCGCCCTCGAGCGGTGCACCAATGACTAGCAGCATTAGGGTCATTCAATTGTTGTTGCTGTTGCGGTCGCTGCAGTTCTCTAAATACTATCTGCCGTCTGCAAAATACTACTTCGCATGAACACGATATCGTGCCTTGGATTTCGCTCTCGGGGCCAGTGCTCACCTTTTGAGGGAACGCGATCACTCGGACGTTCTGGTCGGGGCAATTTTTTCAAGTTGCCTGGTCCACTATTTAGTACCACACCTGTACTCTTCTGTAGCGACGGTACATTCAACTTGATCGACCACGATCATAGCGCGTGAAAGTTGAAACTAGTTCCCTTGCCACGGTGCCACCGCCATCTGCCAGAAAGAGAACGTTTCTCACCTGTGCCAATTTGCTTTTTGTTTCCCTTGCCCGGCGCAAAGCGGGAGTCGTTCCTTTACCATTGGCTCGCCCTCGTGGACACAGCAAACAAGGGAAAAACTCCCAGCTTCAGCCGACTATCGCACCGAGTCCCGATCAAACTCTAGTTTAACTACTGTTCGTCTACCTCGATGAATGGAAAGACATTGTGGGGCCAGCTGAAACGAGTACCGACACCCTTGGCACTGCTAGTGGGATTATTTCTCGGGCTGTTCATCGGCCGTTCATTGCCCTCCAGCGTACGTTTCTGGTTTGATGCCATTATGTTCAGATACCAAGCTCTCTCTGACCTTCACCCAGTTTCTAGGTCCGTCTTGGACAGACAGACCTATATACGTTTCACGTCTGTCCGCACGGAAACAACTCACGCTACCAACCATCGAACAACGTCGTCGGGTGCTTGAACTTCTATCCACGCTTTCACCTCACCATACAGCAGGATGCACGCGCAACTCCCAACCACTATATATCCAACAAGTTCGGGAACGCTACCAGCTCCTTGTGGGGTTCAGCCCTGCGTCGCAGACGTCTTGGTTGTCCTCGTTTGACTTTGGCAGCTTGGGTGACTCCCAGCACGTCCATCTTGCGCCAACAAAAAAACACAAGTACTTCTTTGCCATCAACTTGTATAATTCATTCGATATCATTCCAGATCTGTTCGCAACACTCTTTCGGGTCTCGGCGATACTAGGATACCATAATGTGTATGTCTCCATATATGAAAATGGGTCGACGGACCAGACCAAGGCGCTACTTCGCATATTCGACGCGCTGACCAAGAGCGTCGGGTTGAGGGTGACGATTCGCACATCAACGAGGACGAGGGGTGCATTTAACCATCGTATCGAATACCTTGCCGAGGTTCGCAATCAAGCATTCAACCCTCTGTACGAGCTCAGAGACTCCCACAATGAATATTTTGATACCATCGTCTTCATGAACGACATCCTACCTTGTGTGGACGATATCCTCGAACTTATTTGGCAAAGCAGGACACACAACGCGGGCATCACTTGCGCAGCAGATTATATGTATCATGAAGAACTCGTGGGTTTTTAGATTGTTTATCCGTTGCAATGTACGGTGTCTGACTGAGGTGGCTGTCTAGGGTTCGCCGGTCTTCTATGACAATTGGGTGTCTCGTGATATCAACGGCACAGCGCTGGAAAATGCACCTTTCGAGGCCATCTTCCATGACCCCCACTCCTCTGACCGATTCCAAATGCATCTCCCCGTCCAGGTGCAGGCATGCTGGAATGGTGTCGCGGTGCTAGATCCCGCACCATTCTATACACCACCATACGTCCAATTCCGTATGGCGAAATTGGTTGAAAACGAGTGTTCGGCGTCTGAGTGCAGTCTCATCTGTAACGACTACTGGGAGGCCGGATACGGTCGAATACTCATGGTGCCTAGAGTAAAGTTGGCATATGACAAGGTGCGCCCTAGAGAAGGCGCTTGGTTGTGATTTCCTCATTGAGTTCTGAACATATAGAAAGTGTTTGACATCATACATCCTCAAAGACGAAATCTAAGTGCTATACGGGGATACATCCGCCTTGGGGGCCTTCCTGACAACCCACGCACGGATCCCCAAGATCGGTCTTGGTTTGGTCCCCACGACAGGCTTTTCACTCCGGAAGAAAGCGAGGAGATAGAGTTTATACCTGGACCTTCGCATGGTAAGCGATCCCGCGTGTCAATACGTTCTTGAAGACTGACTGCGATTGGATTCCGAAGTGTGGTGTTGGGGTTGGGATGGAGCAGGGGATATCGATGGTCCTGACGTGGATCCTATATGGGAGGTGATGCCGAATCGGTCGCAGAGCACAGAGGCGGTGACGGTGAAACACCAGAGGTTGATGGATGGGCTATGAGCATTTGGGACTGGGGGTGCTTTGCTTAAATCTCCGTCTTTCGTCTTGCATTAGATCAATTTGGTTGCCCAACTTTAGTGAATTTCCTTGTAACTTCAATATCTTTCTGAAGCTATATAAAGCTCATGGGCTTTTGGCACAGTTGGTAGCGCGCATGCTTCGCACGGGTGACTGCATGAGGTCGTGGGTTCGACTCCCACAGAGTCCATATATTTTCCTCCGCCAAACCTTTTTTTGGATCTTGGGTTGCAGCCGCAACCATCGCCGAGGCCGCGCTTGAGCCGAAAGTTCACTGTTTTATCTTGACAAGCTTTACAACCAGCTCACGCGGCGCTCCGGTGATACATGCAACGACGCTCAGGCCTAGCCAAAGGACTAGCACGCATCTCCATTCCGTCCCAGCACCGTCTCACCGGAATGGGCGTCGACTCGACGCGATCACGATGGCACCGACGTTACCTTGGCGTACCTAATCGAATATGGGCCCTCCTGCTTGCCTTTGTGTCCCTCCTGGTGATATCCCGCCAAGCTCTCTCGTACCACCGACTGCCACAGTCTGTCACCACTGCTGGACTGGTACCGATAAACTATCTCCACTCAGCCAACTATTTTATAACCAACGCTTCGCAAGGGGATACATCAAGCAACCCGTTTCATTTTTGTCCCGTATTTGGACCTAGGGATGACATTGCAGAAAAGTATGGCGCAGTGGTGCTTGCTCAGAGCCGGTTACACCTGGGGAGTGGAGGGCGGGTGCACCGAGTGATTCACAAGGCGTTGGCGGGCCAGCCAATTACGATGAGCGTGTTAGGTGGTTCCGGTGAGTCTCGTACAGTGGCATCCCTTGTCACAGTGCTGTAGAACTGAGTCGCCTTGCCTGGGCTAGTGTCGGCATGTCATGGTGCTGGTGACAACCCATTATCCCCTGTGTGTTATCCCTCCCTTTTCTTCCAGTGGTGGTTGAGCGTGTTCCCACATCCTGCTTCCGAGCTCACCAATGGAGCCATGCGTCGGACGAATTCGGGATACTTTGGTTTCTGTAGTGCACATCATGTGCCCGAGAATACCGACCTCGTGATACTGGAATTTGACGTCGATGATCCAGCGTAAGTGATACGGGACATTCGCTCGGACTATGCACCCGTTTCTCACCCATCTTTCGTCAGCGACCAGAGGGGTATGGATCACTTTGAACTTCTAGTTCGCTCGTTGCTCGACAGACCCGACCAACCTGCTGTCGTCATCCTGGGCCACTTTAGTCCGCAGACTCACAATTCGTATGGCTTCGCTGGACCGGATCACTGGCATAACATCGTTGCGCAATTCTACGACGTCCCCCATATCAGGTATGTCCCTTGTCTCAGCTTTGAGAGATCGTAGTTACGTTGCCACAGCGTGAAACCCATTTTATATCCTACGTATATGACCGACCCCGACCTTGTCAAGCCGTACTTTGCAGACTCCATCCTCCCCAATTCAGAGGGTCACGTTCTCCTCGCAGATGTCCTGATTTCTTACTTCCAATCTCAAGTTTGCGCCACATGGGCAACAGCTGGTGGTCATTCCTACGAGACGATTCCTCTTGTGCTCACTCCAAGTCATAGTGGAGATACTCATCTTTTCGGTGGTATTGGCGCCCGCAAAGGTGGGGCACCCCCTGAACCCCCGAAGGCCGCCGACGAGAATGCTGCCCCCGGAAAAAAAGCGGCACAATTCGCCGCTGCCGATTCCCACCTTGTCCCTCTCTACCCTGAACTGCTCATCCCACCTTCCCGTATCAATACTCGACCACGGGCAACGCGACCGTTTGAGGAGCCAGCGCCGTTCTGTGCCTCTGCCAACGATCTAGTGAACCCTGTACCGCCGTCGTTGTTCTATGGCTCAGGATGGCATGCGGCACACCCGAAACAGGGTACATCGCCCTTGCTGACTGCTGAATATTATTGGCATAGTTGGATGCCTCTCAGCACGTTGCGTGTGCCGATCAAGACTGGTGCGGGAGACGTGGGAATATATTATTTGAAGGAGCCGATCGAAGGCATTGAAGAAGGTAGTCAGTTGAAGTGCTGGGTGGACGATAATATCAGAGGGGCTGTGATTCTCGAGAACGCAGGGAATGTTCCCTCGCCAGTACCTGTGTATGTGTTTCTTTGTTTTCGCGGTGTGTCGTTGCTCAAATGGTGTTACCCCCGCAGGCTCCAGATTATCGATCACTTTGTGACGCGGGGAAGTCACTATGTGGACTGTATAGTGCTGGGAGACGAAGGACAGGCGGTTCCTTCGTTCAAGATTATCGGGATCTTCGCGACGTGACGAGGGGTGCTATTTTGGACCCATTCTCGGCATTATCCTTTGAGTCGGTTTAATCTCAAGAGAGTAATGTACGGAGCTGACGATCATAGATTCATTTTGCTACACATGCTTGGATGCTGGATACAAATTCACTGCTTGGGTCGATTTTCTTTATCAGGGGTGTCAAGTGAGTCATAGGGTTAGGGTTTGATGGCGTGAGAACGATGACGTCGAAATCTTGTGAGTTGGGGGCGTGTGGGCGGGTCGCCTTCTTTATCCGCTTCTTGCTGTAGTTCAACGATGGGCTCCAAAAAGGCTCCGCCGACCGGTGAGTGTCCCTACGTTGGAACTACTGATACAGCTGATTCGTCCAACATAGATGCTCCCCCTGCGTATCGCTATGTGACGAGATTCTACAGAAGAAATCTAAGGCCTGTCGTCATTGCGAGTTCGTCGTGTGGTCTGCGTCCTTGAGGGCACACTCATCGTTTAGTGTAGTGTCTCTTATCACAGCAATTTGGGCTCTGGCATGGTAAGCCCGTGTCATTACAGCTTGGGCAGCATGAAATACTCAAAAATCCAAAATCCTTTCAGGACCGTATGTCCATTCAGCTCGACGCCGTGCCTATCTCGACTAACGATATCTAGGTGTCAGCCTTCAAGCAGCTCAAGCAAGTCAACAATTGTAGGTTGCGCATTGAACCCACGTACCAGCGATAACGCGTCCGTTTTAGACGACGTGCCAAGACTTGCTCCGTGGGCAATAGCACAAGGAGTGATGTTTGGAGTCGCATGCTTGTTCCAAACGTATGGGCTTACAGCTGCATACTTGGTAGGTTCCAGAGCGCCTTATCCTCGTCGGGCTGTCTGGATTCACAGTGGTGGTTCAGCAACGATTTGCCATGATCAAGATATATGCGCTCTTGTGTGCAATGAGTACGCTCCTTGTGATTGGAGTCGGAATCATGAGGGTCATCACCCACTTTGAATACAAGGCATGTAGATCCTCATCGATACTTTATCGTTTCTCACCTCCATCGTAGTCGGATTTAATCACAGAGTGCACAGCCATTGCACAGACTGGATACATTGGCTCCGTCAGTGTATGAGTCCACTTCACCGGCCATGGCTGATAGGCCTCTCCAGACTTTTGGTATTTGGGGTTCGGATCCGACGAATCGGCTGGATGCAAAACAAGCTGCGGAATGTGAGTTCCCAGCGTTTCTGTTGCTTCGCCAAAGATGTGACGCATGCTAGTCTGCGAATACGAATGGAGCCGCGATTCCACGGCGGAGATCGTGGCTCTCGTTTTTGGGATCCGTAAGCAACGGTTTGTTTGAACTGTACCGGAATCTAATCATCCTTGGACTAGTCCTTGGGTTACTTTTCACGACCATCGCATTCGCGTACTACCGACAAGCGCTTGATCCCGCCAACTCGTTCCGCTTGCCGTCCAATCAGGCACGCAGGGATGACTATTCCATACACTACAGCCCGCCGTATGATGGGACTGCCTACGTGCCAGTCTACCTACCTCCACCATGCCCACCTCCCGCCCATGGAAAGCCACCAGAATACAAGCGTGGATCATATATGTCGCTCGGGGGGGACAAGGGCGCAAAGGAGGACGACCCGTTCGCTGATTGTGATGGCCCAAGCGTACCGATGCCGACCTATTGGGTAGAGGACCGGGACGTGACTTCGCCGCACAGGGCATGAGTTTTTTTGGGGGGATGGTCGCTTTTGTTACATTGCTTGCAGTTTGGTCGGACATTTCCATGATAGACTCTGGACGCTGCTCAAACTCTTGACACTCGGGTAGGTCTCGAACAATTGTAGTATAAACCCTGTCGTGTTGCGTGTATTACGGATACAGATAAGTGCCAGTGACCACTAAGATTCGGACTCACCGAGCACATGGCCCGCTATCAGTTCCCCATCGGAACAACCGATCCTCGAAAACGGGGCCTCTTTCCCCGACCGGAGATGCGGCGTTGGGCCTCGATAACGCGCTCGTCTCCCGACACCCAGCATACCCACCCCAGTAAACCCCAGTCTGTAAAAGTTCCCACCAGCCAGAGATCGTCAGAATATTCCATCCAAGTCATCTCCTCGCCACATTGGGCGCGTTGCAGTACTTCAGCAGCAGAAGCCATACGATAGCCTTTGAAGTCCTTGAATACACGGGGTCCGTCAGCGCGTCGCCCAGCTCAAGTCGCTACACCAGGGTACATGCTCGTCATGACGAGCTTCGTCGCTTTCCCTGTCGCTGCTTGTCCTTTTCGTCGTTTACTTGGCTGAGCAAGAAGGCGAGTTTCGGTTCAAGTTGCGACATCACTTCCTGACTTGTCTTCGAGATCACCCGTTCGTTCGCGGTCATAGGATTTCACCTCAACGTTGGAATCGATCGAAGGGACTCGAGCCCATGATGAAGTTGTGGGCTGCTGCGACTCCAGATCGAGGTAGTAACCACGAACGGCACGAGGTGTGCACTATACAACCACGCGTACAAGCGGTTGCGGTAATGGTCACTGCTGTTGTTGTCAATGCAAAATGCCAGTCTGACCGGTCATTGAAGTTTTGTTCGGGGACCAGCATGGCGACTCGAGATCCAACTCGACTCAACTTGTCAGCGAACATCCACGACAGCGACTCACCCAACAGAGCTCAGTATGCTTCGTCCTGGGACGTTGTGCGTGGTCCCGTGGCAAGTAGAACGTGACGGACTATGAAATACACTCGCCGAATGACCCACAGTCCTCCGAGTCAGGTACATGGGGTATATCTGGCCTTTTATACACAGAACCCATACTAATCTGAAAGACAGAACCAGGTTAGCCGAGGTACGAAGGGGTTCGAAACCCCCTCTGGAAAGACGAACAAGGAATGGAATTGACTCGACCCTGATTTGGGTTC